AAAATTGCCCGAGCCAGGATGCCACGCGATTCCCGAAACTGCCCCTCTCAGGATACCATGAGATTCAGGAAACTGCCATTCAGTACTCCCGCTGTCTGTCCGAATCCAGTTCTGACAGTTCACGTGCAGTTCCGCGAATCCGTGCTTTCCGAGTATGCATTGTCCAGTTGCCCGAGATCCGCGGTATGTCGGGAATCCACGTTTTCCAGCCAGTTTCACTTGGGGGGCCTTTTTTTAGAATACCGGTTTAGCAGAAGAGATTCATAAACCATTTCTGTATATTTCTGTCATTCAACTCATCGATACAATGGTTGTAATTCAGCCACAAGATCCTAAGGCAGGGGCGGCTGGTGAAGACGGCCCTCCTGGGAGCCGTGAACCTGCGACGCTTCTACCGCTGGTGGCGGGCCCGCGGCTCAAGATATGCAGCCTTCCGAGATCAAACCCCTAAAAGCCTGCAACCCTAAAGACCCCCCCCCAAACCCTAAGCCCTGGTACCCTAAAACCCTGCAACCCGAAGTCCTAGAAGCTCCCCTGAAATCCCTGGCCTTCTGCACCACCCTGCTCAGGCGGGGAGCCCCCTCTTCGCCCACAGCAGCTACTGGATCCAGTCGCTTCTGAAGGCCTCGCCTGGTTTCCTGGAACCCTGCCTAAACGCTAAACCCTACACTAAACTAAACCTGAAACCCTACACTCCACACCCTATACCCGAAAAGGCCGTAGAACTACCAGACCCCCCCCCAAGAAAACCCCAAGCCCCAGGCCAGAACTCTCCGCACACTCAAGCAACCTCTACGCCCCACCCCAGAGCCCATGAATCGGCCTGTTTGGCACTGGAGTCCTAAATCCCTCAAAGCCCGGCCAGCCCCCTCAACTAAAGTGCCCCTGAGGCCCTGAACCCTAAACCCTAAACCCTAAACCCTAAACCCGCAACCCTAAACCAAAAACCCTCAAACCCTCAAAACCCTCAAAAAACCCCCCAAAAAAGAGGCCCCTGAAGTGCCAGGTAGAGGAGCCCCCTGCTCCCCTACAGCCCTCCGATGCCTCTTGGAAGCAGGGAGGGGCGCTTTTTCAGTGGCGTTGAGTTTTGCTTTTTGGTTCTTTAAGAAGGTTTTGCTGTTAAGGGCTGCTTTTAGGATTTTTTGAAGTTTAATTCCTTTTTTTCAGGGCTTTCCAGGGTTGGCAGGTCTTGAGGGCTTTTGTGTTTTTCCTTGGGTTTGGTGCGTAGCATCTTCGGGGTTGTGTTTTCTTTTGCCCGGGTTTTACGGCTCAAGGTTCAACCTTGGGATTTGAGCTTTGGGGTTTGGGTTTAGGGCCTAGGTTTGGGGAGAATATGGCATCGACCGTAACAGTTCCAGTTGGGCATGTGTGCACATGCAAGCAGCGCAGAGAGGCGGCGCGTGGGCAAACAAAATCCTACAAGCATGTGTGTTAGCGGTGCTTCTCCGACCCGCTAAACAAACTAAACCTTGTTTTTGTGCCCTGTGATTTTGCATGATGCAAGAGCATTTGACGCGACATTCAGCTTGCGCGAGGCTGTGTTTGTCAACGTTAGTGAGAGCTTCCTAAGCCCTAAACCCTATAGACCCTAAAACCCTAAACCCTATAGACCCTAAACCCTATAGACCCAAAAACCCTAAAACCCTATAAACCCGAAACCCTGGACCCTAACCCCCTCGACTGCCCCAGAGAAAGCTCAGGTGTATCACGTTTTTGTGCGGAGCTCAGACTTGGGATGGGGCCCGTGTTCGTTCGTGACAAGGGCTGACCAAATGGAAGATATTTTGAGTGGCCCTTTCAGGGTCTAGGGTCCCTGAACCCTTCGGATTCAGACTTAGGGTCTAGGGTTTAGGGTTTCGGGCTTAGGGTTTCGGATAAGGGTTTAGGCATGAGGAAGGGCTGCTGGGATCGTGAAGGTAGACAGTTTTCAAGTTAGCCTAGAACCAGCTGTCGAAATGTTCGACGAGGTTCTTGCTGGCTACTCTCCCCTGAAATGCAGTAGGCCCCTGGGCAGTTCACGCATGTCCCCCCGAATGTTTGGGGGTACCCCCAACAAACTCTAGCCCAATGTGAACTTCTGAACCCTAAACCCTAAACCCTAAACCCTAAACCCTAAACCCTAAACCCTAAACCCTAAACCCTAAACCCTAAGCCCTAAGCCCTAAGCTTTAAACCCTAAACCCTAGCCCCTAAACCCTGAACCCTGAGGTACAGCCTTGCTACGACAGAAAGATCGAAGCAGCACGACCCTCCTTCGAAGTG